AAAAAAAAAAAAAAAAAAAAAAAAAAAAAAAAAAAAAAAAAAAAAAAAAAAAAAAAAAAAAAAAAAAAAAAAAAAGAGGACTGGCCAGATGGCTCAACAGGTAAAGGTACTTGCTGTCAGGCCAGAATGACCTGACTTCTGTCCCCAGAACCCACAGTAGAAGGAGATCCAAATCTCAAAAATTGTCTTCTAACCTTCACATACGCACTATGGCAATATACGTAAACAACATAATTGTAAATAAATTTAAAGTTTAAGATTTTTCAAGAAACTGGTGAGATGGCTCAGTGCGAAAAGGCATTTATTACCAAGCCTGATGATGTGAATGCACCCCCCAATCATCCACATGGTAAGAGACCTGACTCTCAACGTTGTCTTTGAATTTCCCACGTGTACCTGGTGTACGCAACACTAAACTCCTGATCTTCCTGCTTTTGCATCATGAATTCTGGGATTTAAGAGTATGTGCCAGTGTGCCAAGACCAAGATAAATTTCTAAAATCTAAGTTGTTTTTTATATGGAATCTTACATTTTAGAAACAGAAATGACGGCCGGGCGGTGGTGGCACACGCCTTTCATTCCAGCACTTGGGAGGCAGAGGCAGGCGGATTTCTGAGTTCAAGGCCAGCCTGGTCTACAGAGTGAGTTCCAGGACAGCCAGGGCTATACAGAGAAACCCTGTCTCGAAAAACCAAAAAAAAAAAAAAAAAGAAACAGAAATGACATATTCCTTTCACCTTAGAGTAAGAACAGTGAGCAAAAAGTTTAGCTTCCCTGGATCTCGTTTTTTTTTTTTTTTTTTTTAAAGAATTATTTATTTATTATATATGAATACACTGTAGCTGTCTTCAGACACACCAGAAGAGGGCATCAGATCTCATTACAGATGGTTGTGAGCCACCATGTGGTTGCTGGGATTTGAACTTGGGACCTCTGGAAGTGCAGTCAGTGCTCTTAACCACTGAGCCATCTCTCCAGCCCAGATCTCGTTTTCTTAAGATAATGTAAAGACTTCAGAAAGATGAATTGTGAAGTCTTAAGTGGGTGGTCCCTGTCCAGCTGTGCACTCCCATTCTTTCCAGTCTGTAGTGTTTGAACTTATGGAAACTCAAGAGGAGAGAAAGAAATGAACAAATGGAGTGGTATACTGGGCACCCGAAAGGCTCTCTTGCATTTAAGGCCTCAATTCCGACTGGCTCAACATCTTGTAGTTTTTCTCCATTTAATAGGTATTCATCTGGGGTGGTTTGTACCTTTGTCCCAGCACCAGAGAAGTGAAGTCAAGAGATTGGTACAGTCTGTGCCATCCAGGACAGCAGAGTGAGGAAAGGCCACTTGTACTCCAACACTCAGGATCAGAATTTTTGGGATCTTTCTTTTGTCTCCTGGGTGTTGGGATTCCATGCAGATACCACACACCTGGCTGGAGCAGATCCTGACAGGTGGATTGAGGGTGGTCACCAGGGAAAAGTATTTGTTCTGCATTAAGTCGTTGAGAGAGATGTGTACTTTTTCAAGAAACAATAGTGATCTCTCCTGATTCCAGCCCACCAGGGGAAAGCACAGTATTTGCTGGTAAGTAGGTCTTTGGGACTAGCCCAGTCGGTGGCACTCCTTCCCTTCTGGCTGCTTCTCTTCAGCCTCTGAGGGGCTAGTATCTTTTTCTGGTTGACAGTGTCCCTCCTCCCTGATGTTCCTGGCATCATCTTTAACCCCCGGGGATCTCAGGCATTCTTTCGCTTCCTGAATTGTCAGCTACTGGTTACTTTTCTCTGTATATATTCGCATTCTTTAAACTGGAACCTCGTTTCCAATGTGCCATTTGCACTTCAGTGTCTTTGGTGTTTGTAACACCTCCCAGTTTTCACCTGACTTCTTGCATGTTGGAAGTCAGTTTCCTGAGTGGATATTAGTCAGTGGAAACCTAAAGCTCATTTTCTTTTTTATGGACTGTGATTGTTAAAGACACTTGGATTAGTTTTAGTCTGGTCTTTATTAACTGTCAATTTTGCTTTGTTTTCAGTTACATTTAAACTCACTAGAAGATGGGCCGGAGAGGTGACTCAGTGGTTAAGAGCACTTGCTCCCTCCCTTCCCAGAGGCAGCTCACATGGACCTCCAGGTCCAGGGGACCCAGTGCCCTCATCTGCCCTCTGCAGGCTCCAGACACATGCACAGTGCACATACATGTATGCAGTCAAAGCACTAATCAATATAAAGTAAATCTAAAAGCAATTTTAGAAATTACTAGAGGTCATAACCATTCTTTAGTAGCATTAAATTCCTTGACTTTTTTTTTGGTCTGAGATAGGGTCTCATGTAGCCCAGGCTGTCTTTCAACTCTGTGACCAAAGAACTCCTTCATTTTCCTGCCTTTACCTTTCCAGGATTGGGATTACAGGTATGTGCTGCCATGCTCGATTTATTTGGGCTCAGTTCGAATGCAAGGCTAATATAAGCTAGGCAGGACTTCACCACACTACATCCGCAGCCCCAGAGCAATCATTCTTGATTAGGCAAGACAGTTTGTGGTTTTGCTTTCGTTTGTTTTTGAGTTGGGTTCTCTATGCAGCCCTGGCTATCCTGGAACTTGCTATGTAAATCAGGCTGGCCTTGAATTCACAGAGATACATCTGTCACAGTCTCCTCAGTGTTGGAACTGAAAGCATGTGCCACTACACCTTGCCTAAGATAGTATTCTAATAAATGTTACCATACCTGAAAAATTGAGGCTTTTTTCCCACTTGAGACAGGGTTCCTCTGTAATAGTCCTGGCTATCCTGGACTCATTTTGTAGACCAGGCCCGTCTTCACAGAGATATGCCTGCCTCCGCCTCCCTAGTACTGAGTTTAAAGGTGTATACTGCCACACTCTATTTTTCTTTTAAAACTTGTTTTTCTAAAGATTTATTTATTTTATTTATGAGTACACTGTCGCTGTCTTCAGACACACCAGAAGAGGGCATCAAATCTCATTACAGATGGTTGTGAGCCACCATGTGGTTGCTGGGATTTGAACTCAGGACCTCTGGAAGAGCAGTCAGTGCTCTTAACCACTGAGCCATCTCTCCAGCCCCCAAAACTTGTTTTTCTAATAACTACATATTTGCTAGAGAAAGACTAAGGTAGTGTGAAGCTGCAGTGGACAGTAGGCAGCCAGCTCACCCTTGATCTGGGTTACTTTTGCTCTTACAGTTTGTATTGAAAGGTTTTCTAGCATGCTCAGAGGGGTCGGAGGAGTCCCATGTGTCTCCCATCTACCAGATGCTCAGGATGTGACCATTTCTGTGCGTGTGCATTCTCTTCCTTTCTTGTATTATTTAAGCCAGATCTCAGTATCATAGCATGTCACATTAGCATGTCACATTACTGTTTCAGTAAATTTCTATAAAATAACCATTAAGCTTTTATTAACTAAAATTATAATTAGTGTGGGAATAAATATAATTAAATATAATAGATGTAATAACTAAATATATGATGAATAAGAATGAACAATTCCTTAAGGTTATTAACTTCCTAGTTGTTTGACTTAGCAATTTTATCGTGACTTTGTTTGAACTTAGGTCAAATAAGGTCCTTGGCTGCAGCTGGCTGATGTGGCCTTAATAGACACCTGGAATGTTATTTTAATTACCTTTATTATTTTTCAATTACATTTCTTCATTTGGGAGTCACTGCTAGTGCATATGGAGGTCAGAGGACAGCTGGAGAAATTGGTTCTTTCCTTGTTCTGTGTGGTTTCTGGCCACCAAACCCAGGTTGTCAGCCTTGGTGGCAAATGCCATTACCTGATGAGCCATCTCACCGGCTGCATGTTACAGACTCTTACTCCATCTTGAGGTTCCTTCTCTAACACACTTTGTCTCATGCAGAGATTTTCAGATTACTTAAAAGAACTATGCTGTTCAGTAGTTTCTTACAGTCTCTACCTGACAGTTACTTCTGGGGGATAATTTAATGTATTCTTTTATTTGTTGGATGTTAGTAGAAAATTGGTTGTGTATATTTTAATTTAAATGAGATTTGTTTCATATGCTGGTTGATCTCCTCACAATGTAAAACTTGCACGGTCATCCGCGGACACTCACGCTCCTCTGCAGCAGTGTTCGTAAGGCTGCTGTAGTGCGGCCGGCCAGCTCCTTCACCACACACTTTAGCTCTTCCATGCTACATAGTCCAGCTGTCAACATTCTGTTAGCCAATTACAGAATTGCTATTAGGCGTGACGAGTACCCAGTGCTTGGTAACAAGAGCTGGTTCTGTGCATTAAGTGCCATGAGGTGTTGGATGACTTGTGTTTCCTTACTCTTTGAAGGCAAGATGGGCATATCAAATTTTTAACCAAAGGAGATAATAATGCCGTTGACGACCGAGGCCTCTATAAACAAGGGCAACACTGGCTGGAGAAGAAAGATGTTGTAGGCAGAGCAAGAGGGTGAGTACCCAGGGGAACACCATGGGTTTTTCGTATTACTTTAAACATGGTCTTACCGTGCATGACTGAGTGCGTAACTGTTGGTCCTGGTTACACCAAGTCACCTTTTTGTCCTTTAAAGGATATAAATCTTAAAGTGCACTTAAGTCTTAAGGCGTACTATTCTTGAAGGGAGGAATGAGGTGCAATAAGAGAGTTGAATGTTAATGGTATAGTGGATATCACAATTAAATAAAAAATGTTGGCCAGGTGCAGTGGGTTCATACCTGTAATTCCAGCTTCTGGGAGGTAGACCAAGAGGACCGAACAATTCAAGGCCAGACTCACTAAAAATCTGTGAGATTAAGGCTAGCCTGGGCTACCTGAAACCCTGCCTCTTAAAACAAGAATCATGTATTCAATTTACTCAAGGAGCATTGATATCCGTACTTGGCTAGGCTATTAGGATCCAGAATAGAATTATTACTGCTTCATGAAACAAGTTATTAGAATTTTATTGAGACAATTTAAATTGTTGATCTGAATTAATTTTATTGTGTGACGATAGCCTATATTTTATTTCAGTCTTGAAGTTGATGAGATCAAATGAAATTTTTAAATTATATTAAGCCTGTTTATTTCAGATGTTATCAGGAGAACAGATCAGTGGAGGACAGGAATTGTAAGTTACTGGCGTAAGGAAGTATGGAATTACTTCTTTAATATATTAATAGTATTAACAATAACTCACCTTGATTAGGGCTTGCTATATTCCAGACTCATTATATATGCCTTATAAGTATTGCTTCATTTTAACCTTCAAACAACTCTTAAGATTCCCATTCTGCAGATGAGGAAACTCAGACAAGCCATGTTCTGTATCTAAGATCACGCTGATGGTGATTTGAGTGTCTGGAAGCCCCAGAGCACATGCTCTGCGCTATCACAGCAGAATTGCTGGCATGGCGTCGTCCCTCACCTGGGTGGGTGGGGCTGGTCATCTGTTTAGGTGCTTCATAGCATTCTGACTGTTGTCAGAGCCTCTCCTCCTTACTACATACACCAGCTATGTACAGCCGCCTCACTGTGATGCTGTGCTGTACTGAACAGGTGGCTGTTCTGAAAGAAAGCTTCTTTAGTTGTAGTATGAGAAATGGAAAGGAATCCCAAATCAGAACAAGTACCACTGTGTTTTGTCTGCGAGTGCTCGTGTGTGTGTGTGTGTGTGTGTGTGTGTGTGTGTGTGTACACGCGAGTGCGCGTACATGCAACTTAGAACTTCAGGGGAATTTTTATATTCTATGTTGGAGCTAAAAATAATCTACATTAGATCATCGGTGCCTCTGAGAACTAGATTTCCAAATTTCCTTGTTTCCAAAGATGCTCCAATCATTTTCAGACTCCTCCATCTCTTTAGTCTTTGTTTTCCTTTAGCTGTAAATCTGCAGGGGCATTAGATCGGCCTGGGAGCACCAGGGAGCACCAGGGAGCGCCAGCGCTCCTGTACTGTCTTTCTTTCTTTCTTTTTTTTTAATTTTGGTTTGGTTTTTCAAGACAGGGTTTCTCTGTGTAGCCCTGGCTGTCCTAGAACTCACTCTGTAGACCAGGCTGGCCTCGAACTCAGAAATCTGCCTGCCTCTGCCTCCCGAGTGCTGGGATTAAAGGCGTGCGCCACCACCGCCTGGCTGTTGCTTTACTTTCTTCCACCTCCATCAATTTTTTTTTTTTGACGTTTTCTCTGTGTAATTCATTCTGTAGACCAGCTGACCTTGAACTCAGAGATTCCCCCTGCCTCTGCCTACCAAGGGATTAAAGGTGTGTGCCGTCATGTTATATAAGAGAATTTGTTATATAAGAGGATGATCACACTATCGTACACCCCTTTTCACTCCACGGTCATTAGTGTATTTATAATCAGTACGTTTCTCATCACTCTCAGAGCGAGCACTCCATCCCCTGAGTAGCTCATACACCTACTGGCTGTCCTAGCACTGGCCCTGGCTAGCATTATTTCTAGTTTGCTTTTGTGAACACCATATTGTTGTTAGATATACCCAGTGGTTCTGCCCAGTCTTCCCAGTAAAGTCTTAAAAAACAGTTACTATGTAAAGCATATGCACGTTTTAAAGCTTTTTGACAATTTTTTCTGTATGCTTCCGTGTAAAACTGTCCCTTTGCGTGCATTTGGTTCTTCTTTGTTGTCGCTATGGCTGCCTAGGCCACCCTGGGTTGGGTAAAATAAAGATCTTATTTTCCAGGTTAGAGTACTCAGGCTTCCTCTCCAAGAACTTCTTTTAAAGTTCCAGACTATATAAAATTTAAACTAAAATCTCAATTTTGACAGTATAAACCCTTTAGTGGATTTTAATTTAAAAATGTAATAATCTGAATTCAGTACTGTTTCTGTGAAATATAAACCACCTGGGACGTGGACAGCTGGCAGACAGGTTTCACTGCCCAACTCACTTTTCATCGACTCTCCTGCCACCGAGCTTGACAGCTAATGTAATGAGTCACCTTCCTTTGTGGAAATCGTATTTATAAAACACTAAGCTGATATTTCTGAGTCAAGCTGTACCTTACACTCACAGGCAAGCCTGGACTGTAGTGCAACTACCTTTCAATTAAAGAAAAAACATTGGTTTTTGTTTTGTTTTTCTTCTGTATTACTCCACACTGATACCAATGGTTCTGAGCCAGGTTGTTTTTTAGAATGTTACTGAAACAGAATTCACTTATAAGATTCTCTATTTTAAGGGCAAAGTTCACAGATTTTAATATATCTTCAAGTTTTTGCAACTGTCACTACTATCTAATTCCAGATCATTTCTCTCCACCCTCAGATAATCCTCCACATTCATTAGCAGGCACGACTTGTGCCCGTCCTCCTGCACCTGCTCATAGTGCTAACCTGCTCTAGCATGGGCTCGTGTGCAGTATCTCCTGTAAACAGAATCACAGTAGGGATCTTCTGTGCTTGGTTTCTTTTACCTATCCTAATTTTCAAGGTTAATTCATCTTATAGCATGCAATAAAATTCTTAGAAATGAAACTAATACTGTACCAACTAAAAATATCTAATAGAGATGACTTTGGAAAATGAGAAAGTTGGACCTGTTAGTCACAGAGAAGAGAGCAGTGTCAGAGAGGACGAGAGATGGGCAGGAGAGTTGGTACAGAATGTTAGACTGAAAAGGAATGAGAGAAAGAGGGAACAGGAATAGTGACGCTGGAAGCCTCCAGACAAAGCTGTCCCAACAGAAGAGGAAGTGCTCTTAACAGGAAGTGAAGTGCATCAGGCAAAATGTCTGCCCCTAAAGTGTGCCACAGGCTTTGATGGTAGAGTAGAAACGGTAATTACCCTGATGTGTTTAGTGCACACTGTATACATGTATTAAAATACCCCATAAAAAGTGATATGCCATAAAATGCAATTAAATTACATGTCTAGGTGCGGTAGCACATGTGTAGTCCCTGCTGCCTGGGGCAGGGACTGGGTGCTCTCTTGAGGTCAAGTTGTTGGCAGCAGCACCGTGAGACCCTGTTTTGAAAATTAAAAATATGGGGCTGATGGTTGACTCGGTGGTCAAGAGCCTTGTTGTCCCTCCCAGAGTTTACAATACTTTGTAGCTGTCTCTTTTCAGCTCTTGGAGAACTCACGTGTTAACACAGGCTTGCTGTGGTGAAACTGCCTGCTACCATGTACCTGTGCCACACACCTTGTACCAGACCTAAACATCTTGAACCTGAGTGTGCAAGAACATTGTTTGGGGTGCATGTTTCAGGGATTTGTTTAAACTCAGAAAATCTGGGGACACTAGAAAAGTGTATCTGGTAATTTTGTGTATTGTATAGCCCAAGCTGGCCTCAAGCTCTCTGTTGAGCTGAGAATGACTCCTGGCTCCACCTTTCTTTTTTTTCCTTTTTTTTTTTTTCCTGATTTTTCGAGACAGGGTTTCTCTGTGTAGCCCTGGCTGTCCTGGAACTCACTCTGTAGACCAGGCTGGCCTCGAACTCAGAAATCCGCCTGCCTCTGCCTCCCAAGTGCTGGGATTAAAGGCGTGCGCCACCACCGCCGGGCAAAGATTTATCTATTTTGTGTATATGAGTGCTCTATCTGCATGCCAGAAGAGAATATCAGATCCCATTACAGATGATTGTGAGCCACCATGAGGTTGCTGGTAATTGAACTCAGGACCTTTGGAAGAGCCGCCAGTGTTCCTAACCATTGAGCCGTTTCTCTAGGCCTGGCTCCACCTTTCAAATGTTGGAATTTAGGTGTGCACCCCCACATCTGAATTATGTGGTGTTGGAGATCAAACCCAGAGCTTCATGCCTGTATGCTAGGCTAGCATTCTGCCTTCTGAGCTACAGCTGCAGCCCCAAGTGACTCTGTTAAAGAAGAGCCAGTGTTCAGAACCATTAGCATGTGGAAAGGGAGTTTGGGGAAGGGAGGAAGACTAGTTTAGTTTTTAAAAACAGAGTACAGGAGATGAAAAGTGAGAGTTGTTAAGAGGAAGTGAAGGACGCTAAAAACTGTCTGTTGACGTTTGCCTATGGCTTTGATGGTGGAGGTGTTAACTGGGAGGTGGTTTCTGTTTCTCTGGCCCGTGGCGTGGCAGGAGGGGTCTATGCACACACTGAAAGTGGACTGTGATAAGAGAGTTGAAGTCCACTTGGGCCATTGCCACATTATGGCCAGTCTACTCGGAAGTCGGCCATTGGTGGGGAGAATGAAGAAAGTTGAACATTTGCGTTTGCTCACTTCCTTTCCTGTCACATCAGTGACACCCTGATAATTTTTTTGTTTTGTCCTGAATTATTATTATTATTATTAGTTGTTGAGATAAGGTGTCATTGTGTAGCACAATTTGAGCTGGAATTTGATAGGTAGACCAGGCTAGCCTTGAACTCAGAGATCCATCCACCTGCCTCTGCCTACCAAGGGCTGGGATTAAATGTGTGTACCACTAGCCCAGCCCCTGCTCTCAAGTCTTACAATGTTAAGGTGTCTTACATACATAGAGAGAAGATTGAAAACCTGGAGAAAATGAAATTCCCAAGAAAATGAAAAGGAAAACCTATTCAAACATTCCACCAGACAGTATTAGGCCGAAGGCAAGGTTCAGCAATAGAGTGAGTGCCTGGCCTGGATGAAGCCCTGAGTTTGCTCTCTAGCATGGTGAAGCTTGGTGTGAGAGTGTGTTCACACCTGCATGCACATGTGTACCTGTACGTGTTTACTGGAAGGTTGAGTGTACAGGACCTTGAGGCTATGGGAGATCAAGATCGATACTTTCATAGAGTCAGAGGGGAGGCAGATAATTAGAACAACAGCGTTCTTAAAATTGTGACAGAGACCTCAAAGGCAAGTATAGCGAATGTGTAAGATTTGTCACCAGGTGTTTTTGCTCAGTTTGAGGGAATGAAGAAAAAAGAAAGCTAGTGAGAACACAGGGCTGGGGAGATGGTTCAGTGGTCAAAGTGCTCACAGCTCAAATGTAAGTACCTGAGTTCAGATCCCCAGAGCCTCTGTAAACTCTGGGTGGGCTTGGTCACCCACCTCTAATTCCAGTTTGAGAAAGAAATGAAAGTACAGATACAGCAGTCTGGAAGTAGGTGTAGAAATAGGTTTGCAGGTTATTGAAACAAAAGAAGAAGGATTTCAAGAGCAAGTTGTAGTCATTAAAATCAAATACAGGGGATGGAGAGATGGCTCACTGGTTAAGAGCACTGATTGCTCTTTCAGAGAACTTGGGTTTGATTCTGAACTTTAACTCCATTTCCAGAGGATCCAGTGCCCTCTTCGGACATCTGGGCACCAGGTATATATACATACATACACACAGGCAAAACACTCACACACGTAAATAAATAAATAAATCTAAGAATTTAAAAAAATACTTTAGAAGTATATAGGAAGATGGAGGCTGAGGCTGCTTTGCTGCATGTGGTGATAAAAACGGGTCTTGAGAAATTTCAGAGCTAGGCACAGTGACACGTGTATGCATCCCGTCATTTTAGGAAGACTAAGGCAGGTGGAAGTAGGCTCAAGGGAAGCCTGCTGTACTTCAAGACCCCATCTGATAAATAAAATGAAGATGAAGAGGGCCAAAGCCAGACCATGGTTAAATTAGTGCGGTGAGGGAGCCCTGGGCTCTTCTGTTCAGTGCTGAACCGACAGGAAGTACCTTGCAGTGTTGTGCTGCCAGGGGCCTTATCTCTGCACCAAAATTGGCAGCTCCCTAAAGGCTACGAGGCCACACCCAGTACCTAGCATTGGAGAGACCAACTAAAGACCTAAGATCTGGTCTGGTACTGACTGCTTCTGCTGCACACAAGCCATGCACCTTGGATGCATGATCCTGTTTCCTCATCTATAAAATGGTCATAATCCTAACTTCCTTGTAACAGGCTATTGAAAGGAACAAATATAATGTATGAAAATCAGTGAACTGAGAATCAGTACTCTGGAAGGTACTGGTGATTAATGGTAAATGTTAGCAGCTGCTTCCTCTAGGGTGATTCTCTGTGATGATAAGTTGTTTGTTTGTTTGTTTGTTCTAGGTTTGTTCCTTATATTGGAATTGTGACAATCCTCATGAATGACTATCCTAAATTTAAGGTACGAGTGTAACTGTATGCTTGATTAAAAATGAACGGACCTAGGGTTGAGAGTACGGCTGAGCAGCATGTATGCTTAGCATGTGTGAGGCCCTGGATCCAGCCCACTCCCCCACAATGCTCCTTTGTTTAACTTTTGAAACTGTTAAGTAGATTACAGGTAAAGCATGAAAGACTAATGTAAGTTAGTAGTTGATCCTGAGTCATAAACAACTGAGTTTATGACCGACGGAGACTTCAGAGGTGCTGGAAGCATCCCTGCTGACGTGTGTTCCTGTGTTATTTTCTAGTATGCAGTACTGTTTCTGCTGGGTTTATTTGTGCTGGTCCATCGTGAGTAAGAAGTCGACCTCACTGTCCCTTGGAAGATGCTGTGCTTGTTGTTACTGAGTGTTGGAGTAGATCCTGGTCTGTGATTGGCGGATATTCAGAGGACACACGTTGGCACTTCTTGGTAGCACTGGTTTGCATTACTTTGTGTTTCCACACCCAAGGATGTGTGGGCGGGTGCATGTGCACCATGGAGTGCACACAAGGGGACTGTCAATCACAAGGTTTCATATGTTGTCATTGTCACTCTTTCACATTTTTGTACATCAGTGAATTTTTTATATTAAAAGGTTGAGCCAAAGCCCCCAGTGTTTGTATTTTGAAGCCAAGCTTCACTTTTAAAGTGCCTACAGAGTTCTGTAAATGAAAACACAGCTCTGCATGAGTTCAAACCTGCCGTTCCTCCTTACAGTGGGAATGGCACATATTGAGGTGGTCATAAGTCTTAACTTTTCAAAATTTTAAATAAAAGACTTTGCACATTGAATCCCTTTCCCTGAATTCTGTTTGTTGGGAAAGCTCCTGAGATGTGCCTTTCTTGGCTGGGTCTTAGTACCCATCATGGGCTTATAAAGGCTTTTATGTGGCTGGGCATGGTGACACATGCCTGTTATCCCAGCTCCTGGACTATTTCAGCACCAGAATCTGAGGATCAGGAGTTCTAGGCCATCCTCAACTACATTCTGAGTTCAAAGCCAGCCTGGGCTAAAGGAGAAAAGGCTTCAGCTTTGATAGTTGACCAAATATTAACAAATGGTCTTTTTGTTTAGGTTTGTTTTTGTTTCTGTGAAGTCAAAGTAGCCATTGACGTTCATAGGAAATCTCTTAGTCACAATCAATTCTTCACTAGGGTGTGACTCAGATTTGTATAATCCCAGATGGTGTGACTGAGAGGTCCAGAAAAACCTCACCTGGCTGTAAAGACACCTAACCCTTTGTCTACTGGAGGCTCTCATCCTCCAGCTATGTATTAGCATTTGGATGAGGCAGATGTAAGTGAGGGAAGCCAGCACCCAACTCCTTTAATGCTTATTTGCCTAAACCCATTCGACTAAGTGGCTGGCTTTGCATTTTCTCTAATGCAGGCTTAAGTAGTGACTAAAAGCCCAATTGTGTTTTCTTTTCATTTTGAAAAACGGAATGTAGGGTAAACCAATGTGCAGTAATACAAAATACTTCTAATTCTGCCTTTCTTGTTTAATGTGAAATCTCAAAGCAAGCATGTGGTCAGCTTCTGTTTATTCAGCTGAGGTGACAGCCTGTGCTGTATTGCTAATAGAATGGAATAGGCAACCTTCCAAAGCCTTCCCTATATAGAATACTGCTATCTGAGACCCATTAATTAGGCCTTAGCCTTCAAACTTTGCATGCTTAATGATACCAGCCCTTAACAGATGGCTTTCTCAGCCTGTGAACCTTACTTCCCATAATCCCGGGGGTGCTCAAACTGCCTCTTCAGTGGCATGGCAGATTATTATTACTCTTATCTGTTCCTCGATAGTCACCTGCGAGACATAGACTTCATACTCTTTCTGATCAGCGCCCTAGCTTTTTTCTTCCTTTGCTAGAAGCTCCTATTACAAAGGCTACTTTTTTCTTAAAAAGTAGCCAAAGCACTTAAAACACTTGAGTCATTCTATTAGCCAAAAGTAAAAAGATTATTTTGGGGAGAGTTATTATGTTCCCAAGTTTCATATTGTTGAAAGCTAAAACATAAGAAGACTAAGGGTTGTGGAGCTAGAGAGACCATGACTCAGCACTGAGAGGACTGGCTGTTCTTACAGAAGACCGGTCTGTCAGACCTTTGTCTCTTCTCAGCTTCCTCATGGCTGTTCACAACCACCACAATCTCCAGTTCTATGAGCACTGACAACATATGGTATGTATGCATACATTCAGACAAAGCACTCACTTAAAAAAGTAAAGGCTGGAGACGTGGTTGTTGGTTAGATCTTTAAAACTTAAAAAATTAAACATATTTTGAGCTTTTTGAAAATATAAGAAATTAAAATGATTCTTGGAGTGGGGGTGGTTTGAGACAGAATGCTCACTGGGTTACTTACTGCTGTTACAGAAGACCTGGGTGTTTAGCAGCCACATGGCAGCTCACAACTGCCCATAACTCCAGCTCCAGGGGATCCCACACTTTCTGGTCTCCTTGGACCCCTACGCTTATGTACATCATACACAATTTAAAATAAATAAGAAATTCCAGAGAAACATAACTAGTAATTGAATTGACTTCTCAGTTCTTTGGGATTTGGGAAGATTAGTGGAAGTGTGGGGGACTCAGCCACTGGAAGGAATTGGGAACAGAGTAAGAACTAATAAAACTTTAAATTGGAATTTGATACTAGGAGGGTCTCTTGGCTCTCATAGCTCTGGCTAATAGGTCGTGTGTCATTTCCTCAGGCTCAGTCCCACACCCCGACTCGAGCGTCCCGTTTATAAACTCACGCTCCTGGGGCGTCCATCAAGCCTCAGCCAATTCTCACCTGTCAGGGAGGTGCTAGGCTGCAGTATTTCCCCGTGTCTCACTGCTAACCCTGCATCTCCCTTTGCCATGCATTTTCATTAGCAGTTACCTCGTGCTGCTGCTTGAGTGTGTCCTTGCTTATCCCTCCCTACCCTGTCGCATTCCCCTGCCCCCACGATCCCATCTGTGGGCACTGCAGGCCATTCCTTTGGGGGTTGGGGGGGTCCTCTTATTGCTGAAGTATACTGTGACTGAAGCAGACGGTTTGATTCATCCTACCTCTCGGCCGTGCACACCAGCTCAGCTCAGGCTTTGGATGCAGCTAGTTGTGAATGAGCACCACCATGCCGCTGTCCGTGATGCCCTCACTGTTGCCTCTTTCTCTCCTCTGTGCTTGTCTGCGTCTCTCCGTCTTTACACATAATTGTTCTGCTGCTGCTGTTCCGTGACAGCTTTACATTGTTTTGGATTTGGGGTATGGTTGCCAGATTCCTGGCGGGGCGGGTTGTGAGCTCCTCTCCTGCAGGGGCCTCATTTTGTAGACGCTGTACCCTGTTTCTCCAGAAGCGTGAAGCAGCATCTATTAAATGCTGGGTATAGTCATGCACTGGAAGCAGAGGCATAACATCGTAGATTAGTGTTGTTGTGAGCAGAGCGTATGAATCATTAAAGTGATTTGTACTTTCCTGTTATTTAGTAAGTACATTCTCTCTTGGCCTTGCCAGATCTGAATCTGAAAACTTCCTCTCACCATGGTTCCTTCTAAGCAACACGAGTACCCTTTAACGTTAACTCTGCTTTCTTGTCTCTGTACAAGAGCCTGCAGACTCTTCCTGTGTTATCTTTATTGGTTGGACTGTTGACATTTGTCACTTTACCTAGGGAGTCATAGGTTTTGAGAGCCTCAGCTTTCTTGATTGCTTGTGTATTTTTCTGGGGACTTGCACAAAGGCTCTCTCTCTAGCCTAGTGCTTTGGTGCTTGCTTTAGTGTTTTATCACATTCAACTAGCCACTCATCACATGGGGGAGACTATTCCACCCACTGTCTGCTGTCGCTCTCCTTATGACAGTGTTCTAACACTGTTGAGCTTTAAGGGATGATCTAATTGTAGCTGGCTCCATGGATCGCCCTTCCTTGGGGTGCTCTTTGAGCCAGGAAGGCAGTGCAGGCTGTTTTCTGCCCGTCTATACCTTCATTGCTGTTCTCTGATGCTGGAACTGAACAATACCAGGGCCTGTGGTATTGTAAGTATGTCTGGATATATGCTGTTTCATCAGGGAATGTTATCGAGACTAGAACGATCAAGGCTTACCACAAATTGTGAGGCCATTCCTTCCCATACTCACTGTAAGGCTCACTCAGGACTCATCCTGCCTCAGCTCTCCTCAGACCCCATTCTCTATATCCACATGGCTCCCACCATGTAGACATGCCACCTTTGCTTATACTGGTCACTGCCTGGGGTGCAGCTAAGAATTTTCTCACTCATTCAGCAGATGCTTATTGAACATCTGCTGTGTCAGATTTCCAGCTAGACCCAGCTACAGGGGTAAAGAGCAGTCTTTGGTCCCCTTTCTGACTGCCTAGGTGGGCGGAACATGTCTGAGCCTTTCTCACATAGGATCCTAGTGTGATCACAGAACGATGCGGGGAGCTTCCAATGGAGTGCTGCTTATTCTTGATGCGTGCAGGTGATGCTTCCTGCTTCAGACTGCCCAGTGCTTTGTCCTTGTTCTCTCTAACATTCCCTCAGGGCAGCTGGCTTTCTCTAGGTCTCTCTTCCCACTAGAGTGAGGGTTGATTCCTTCAGGCATTGAGACAGGTCTGGTTTTGGATTCATCTTTGGGTATCCCGTAGTGCCTGGTACAGTATTGTGTTTATTTTTAAATTTGTTTAAGTACTTGTCTTGTTCTGTACAGATAAATCTAGTATTATGTGATAAAATATAACATTGTAACTGATGAAATTAGAGTTGAAATCATAAGTTGGAGTGGAAATGGATAAAACCAGATCTGAAATCAGTTACTTATGTAAAACGTAAGATAGTGAAAGATTCTGTTGTCTGCTGGAAGAAATCTGTATCTTTTTACTCTTGGTTTCCTAGTATCTAGTACAAGGAAGGAAATGGCTATTTCTGTGCTTTGTAGAATAAATATAAAATGTAATAAAAAGAAAGTTGGGTGGTGGTGATGCATGCCTTTAACCCCAACACTCAGGAGGCAAAGGCATCTCTATGAGTTCCAAGATAGCCAGGGATACACAGAGCAGCCATGCTAGAAAACACCATCATAGTCATTGTCATCATTATTATCATCATAGAAAGTTTAATAGTTTCCAAGGACAGAAAACTCTTGGGCTACCCTGTGGTATTACATAATAACCCCTATCCAAATTAGCCTGGTAACTTTGCTGAGGCCGTTTCCCAGAAGTTTCTCAGTATAGTTAGTTTGGCAACATCTACAAAAAGCCACCTCCTGAGTGGGTATAGCAGCCCGTGACTGTAATCCTGACACAGGGAGAAGTAGAGGCAGGCACATCAGGAATTTCAGGCCCAGCCTTAGCTATGAACAGTGGATTCAAGGCCAACTTGAACTACAAGAGACCCAGTCTCAAAACACAAACAAACCAAAAAGCCACAAACGTCAGATATTTGAACTTTACTCATGATGATCTGTAAACCCATAAATCTCTAGGGGCATCATCTTTAGAGAATAGAAATCTGATATATATCCTCACTACCCTGACGCTCCTGCCCCAGTCTCTTACTCCGGTCAGTCTTTAACATTTTGTCTTGTTACTCCGGTTTTTCTTAAGCTTCTATAATAAAGCAATGCCCTTTTCATCGAACTATCCATTCTGACTTACAAATGCCTGTCTTAGGCTTTCCCAGCATGCCTCTGCCCACTTTTAGTCACTTCACCACAACCTTGGCTTTACTTGCCCCAGCTACTTGGATTGGTAAGCCTGATTCCTGCTTTAATTCAAGGAGTCTGGTTAGACAAATTTATGCTCAGAACTTAATGTCAGGCAAGTAAATAAATTAGCTGACATCACGCTTTGATCAAAGCTCTCAGCCTTCCAATCTATTCAAGCCAAAACCAGAGTGCTACAGCATTCTTTCTCAGAACTGGTCAGAATTGAGGTAATACTGGGCTGGAGAGATGGCTCAGAGGTTAAGAGTACTGGCTGTTCTTCCAGAGATCCTGAATTTGACTCCCAGCAACCACATGGTGGCTCACAACCATCTGTAATGGGATCCGATACCGTCTTCTGGCATGCAGGGATACATTCAGACAGAACACTATACATAATAAATAAACCTTTAAAAAAAAAAAAAGAGGTAATATCAAGCGTGGAGGCCCATGCCCTTCATCCCACCAGCACATAGGAGGCAGAAGCAGGCAGATCTCTTTTTTAAAAAAAGAAGAAGAAAAAGAAGAGAGAAGTGATGTGGGTACCCTGGCATTTTGATTTAGGAATCAAGTTGTCACAGGCATGCTTTGTGTGTGACCATGCTCTGTTGTGTGGACACACTGGTCTCACTGCTGACACGTGAACATTTCCTGGTAACGGGCTTCAGATTCACCAGGCTTTGCTCTTCCTGGAATCCCACCGTCCGCTCTACTGAAAGTACTCTCCAGTTTACAACAAACTTTTATTCTTCCCTGGTTTCTCCACATAAGCAGGGATTAATGAAAGCTGTGGGTGATCTGCTTCTCCCCTGCACTGTAGTCAGCCGTGTGTTATCCCTTCTCCTTTCCTACTGGGCAAAACTGGGGTGTTTTGTTTGTTTGGTTGGTTTTTGTGTTTTGGTCTTTGTCCAGCCTTAGCCTGGTGATCCGCACCCCGCTGGGGTGGATGCCCACACGGACAGTTATTCCATCAGCCTTTCCGAGCCTCTCCTTTTCAGTGTAGATGACATTACTTTCTGTACACCTGGACCACCCTGCTAATCTGCTGACCTTTGTGGTGTCCGTGGACAACCTGAACTTCATCATCATATCAAATGGGCACTATACTTCTGTCGGCCTTTGGAAAGAGTGGAAAACATCATGGTCTTGCGAATGTGAGAGGGTGCACTGAAATGCCATTAAATTGCTTCAGTCAGAACTCACAAAGGGATTGAGCTTCATTCCGGTGGCGGCTGCTCTAGCAACGGCTACAAAGGCAGGAGCTATTGTTTCCTATTTAACAAGCTGGAGAATAACCTCTGTTCCACCCGGAGAGAAAGCAGAGCTCAGGTGTTTGCATCTTTACAAGATCTGTGCACACCAGAGGTCTGCTCTTTTCTCACTGCAGGTTGCTGTACTGGGTCCTTTTTACCCTGACTTATCTTTGGAAGTTGAATGGGCTACTACAGAGAACCTAGAGTTGCAAAGCCCTCTCTTCCCTGGGTTTGCTCAGATTATCAAATCTCTTAGAAATCGTGGGATTCTGTACCAAATTCCCAAGTATTTCTTTAAACCTCTTTGGATGCTTAGTAATGTGACACACATCCCAGCACTGGAGAGGTTGAAGCAAGAGGATTTTGAGTTCAAGGCCAGCCTTGGGCTCCACAGTGAGTATAAGTCTCCAAAATCCAAAAACATTTTTAGAAACCCTCTTTGGGGTTGAAAATATTATTTCAGTGTGTAACTGTCACCTTAAATGCACAAACGTAATGTGTACAGTTAGTGCTGCTGCCTGGCCTGCTCACTCCAGGGGCTTCCTGCCATCCTGAACTCTCACTCTTCACTGAGTAGTGGTTTCCTGGCTCTGTGTGTGTGTCAGATGGAGCTAGTCTTTGTTCAGATCAGTGAGCCTGTGAGAACAGAACTCAGTGACACATGCAGAAGAGCAGTGAGACTGGAGAGGCAGTGTCACTAGCTCTGGTCCCAGAGAACTCAAAACTCAACCTGGCGCTGAGACAATGGTGTGGGGAAACAGGAGTGTGTGCATGCGTGCGTGTGCGTGTGTGTATGTTAGGGAGAGCTATGTCCTCACACTTTGGGTGTGTGAGACAGTGCCCCAAAGGTATCATGACAGACTTGAACCCTGACTCCAGTGAAATGTCTGGGCAAGTAACGCAGCCTCTGAGGTGATCTTTGCCAATAACATAAGAGAGAAGCTTGTCAAGTGAGTTCCTTCAAGGGTTTAAGGAAGTCAGCACTCACTAAATACTATTTCCCTTGGTTTCTACATCCATGGACCAAAGAGATAGTCTGGGCGGGTGATGGATGCAGAAAAGCGGGAGGCAGCCGCACAGGGGATGATTATTATGGGAAGGTGATAAGAGCTATATCTGAACAGCATGGCTAAGTGTGACAAGAAAGCAGGGAGGTGTGAATATCAGGTTGGGGGTGAGAAGCAAGAAGACTGAAGGGAAAAGCCAGGGCCAGAAATGGACTCTCTCTGTCCCGTGTGCCACACTCCAGAACCTCAGCAACACAGCCTCAGAAAGCTTCCCTGGGCCTGGGGGATGGCTCAGTTTTTTAAGCGCTTAGCATGCAAGTATGAGGACCTGAGTTCAGATTCCCAGCTCCAGATAAAAAGCCAGGGATGTGGGCAAGCACCCAGGATCCCTAGACTTGCAGGCCAGCCAATCAGTGAGCTCCAGTTTCAGCAAGAGACTCCGCCTCAAAAAATAAGATATGGGCTGTGGAGATGACCCGTTGGATAAAAGCACTTGCTGCAACAAGGCTGAGCTAAGTTCAGATTCTTAGAACCCACATGACAAGCCTTATGTACTGATACATACATGTAATCAGTGTTTCTATGGTGAGCTGAGAGATGGGTGGGAGAATAACCCGAATCTGTGGGCTTGCTAAACTGGACTACGATGGCAGACAGCAGAAACAAGGAGACCCTGCCTCAGACAAAGCAGAAGGTAAAAACTAACCTGTAAAAATTGTCCTCTGGCCTCCACGTGTGGGTACACACACACACACACACACATACACACAGACACACAGTACAATTAAGAAAAATGCTTCTGGGAGCTGTTGGTAGGAGTAAGGACAACAAGCCAATTAGAGTGGCTCACACCTGGAATCCGGTACTTAGGCACCTGAGACAGGAGGATTGCTGTAAATTCAACTCAATCTGGTCTACTTAGCAGGTTCCAGGACAGAAGAGCTACATAGTTCATGTCTCAAACAAAGCAAAAAGATTATGTTCCCTTCCCCATCATTCTGTCTCCATTCTGGGCACAGAAGTTTTCCAGGTTACCCAGTGTGGGCCATTTGTGAGAACAGAGCAGTGCAAGCAAAGCTCAGATGGTTTGAGACAGGAGGTGACAGGATTCTTTTATTGGATTTCCTCTGCCGGATGATGCCAAACACACATGCTGCCAAGAGCAGGGCTTCTTGTTCCACTTCAGCTTTAAGGAGAAGCTTTGAGAGGAACACGATGGCAGAAACCTATGTCTGTGGCCAAGGAGGGCCTCGGGAACTACTTTTGCTGGGAGGGCGATGCCACACGCTAGGTTGCATATGACTATGGTGGGTTTCTGCTAGAAACCCTAGCGAGGCGAGGCTGTGTGGGCGGAGCCTGTGGGGCGGGGCTCCGGGGAGGAGCGAGCTCGGCTCCTCTAGCAGGCTCCGCTCCAGTCTAGTTTAAAAGGCTGGAAGGCGGGCTTCAGGATCTAGTATCCTGAGAGTGCCAGAGAAGAGCCTGTTTGGCACAGCCATGACCCGGCAGGCAGGGAGCTCTTGGCTGCTCCGTGGTCTCCTGCTCTTCGCATTGTTCGCGTCCGGCGTCGCTCCCTTCAACTGGGATCTCCTGGAGCCCCGCAGCCGAGCAAGCAAGATTCGAGTACACCCTCGGGGCAACCTCTGGGCGACTGGTAAGTGTTAGGGGACCCCCACAAGCGTGCCTCATTCTCCTTGGTCCTCAGTTTCCTTTTCAAACCTCTGGAGGCTCTTAGTAGCGAAGCTCCTGCAGACCCCGGGGGCTTATCAAGTTTTACAGATGGGAATCTTGAGACCCTAGCACTCACAGACTTGGCTAAGTTAACCCACTCAGCAAGTTTAAGACAGAGCCAGGCCAGCATCTTAGATCTGGTTGCCAGTTGGTCGCCCTTTCCTTAGGCAGACTACCAGGTCTTCTCACCTCGTGTCTTCTCTGCACATCCATCTAGAGGTACCTTCTCCACTACCTTCCCTGGCAGGTAATCTCCCTGGTACCAGGCTATCTACCCTTCTGTCCTCCAGTGGGTCAGGAAAAGCTGAGGATGTCAGCTTTGCCTCCACCCAGAGATCTGTGGCTTCTTGTTGAGAATGTTTCTTGTCTTCCCTCTGTGAGAGCTGAAAGGTAGAATAGACCAGAACATGCTTATAGTAATAGGGTCCTCATCCCTCGCTTCCATGTACCTTGGCACCTCCTTTTTTAGGTCACTTCATGGGAAAGAAGAGTCTGGAACCCCCAAGCCTGTCACTTGTGGGGACAGCACCCCCTAACACCCAGAGGGACCAGAGACTACAGCTGAGTCATGATCTGCTCAGGGTCCTCCTGCTAAAGAAAGCTCTAGGCATGCACCTCAGTGGCCCAGCTCCCCCACTCCAGGTAAGTCCCTTTCCCAGTACAGTACGTGCACGGAAGAATAGCCACCCAGCATATGATCAGGGTGGGACTGCCTAGCCAGAGCAGAATGCAAATGGATTCCAGAAAGCCAAGGTCCCAGGGCTCAAAGGGGGAATATCCCAAAGACGGGAAAATGACGCAGCAGACTGCAGGGGAAAGAAGTTCCTCCTTGCCCATCCCCGGTCCGAAGCCACAGCCTAGGTGTATTCTAGCCCTTAAATAGAGTGTTCTCCAGGCCACACAGCCTTGTCCACCCAGCTGTCGTCGGTGTCTTAGCCAAGCCCACCTTTGCTATCCCAGTCTGTGCTTGTGTCCCAAGCTGCGATCCCTGGGGCCTAGAGGTGGAAGGGAAATTACCAGTGGTGACAACTCAGAACCAGCCTGCCCTCCAGCCTCCCATCCATTTCCCAATGCCAGTGCTCCGGCAGTACTGGCTCTGCAGGGCTGTGTGTTTGGGATGCTTAACACATCCCTGGTCTCTACCTGGCAGATGCCAGTAGCACATTCCCTCCTCGACAGGTTGTGATAACCAAAATTCCCTCTAGACCAAGAACAACACACTTGCCTGCAGTCCCAAATGCCTCAGAGGCTGAGGCAGGAGGATGGTTTGAGATCAGGAGTTTGGGAAAAAACAAAACCGAAGCCTTCAGACATGAGTGGAAGTGGGCTCAAATCACTGCTGGTTGTAGAACATTGGCCTATGGTGCTCAAGGCCTTGGGGTTCGGCCGGGTTGGGTGGCAGCTCCTCCGTTCTTGGCTCCTGGTGGTGTCCCCACTGCACACTACTGTCCTGGTACTTGTTGCTATGTTCAGAAGGTAGTGTGAAGGGGTGACGAGGTGGGATGCATGCTGGGGCCATACCTAGCTACTTAGCTAGGTGACCTTAGAAATGTGTTCTTCATCAAATAGAAACAACAGGCCCACCTCCCAGTAGATGGGCTCATTTGTGTCATGTGCGGTCCAGTGCCGGGCACACAGAAAGCTCTTGGGAAGCAGGAGCTCCTACCGCATGTCTGCCAGCCTCTGGCAGGACTTTGCTGATGATGCCCTTCCTATCCCTACTGTGCTGTTAGCCCAGTGTGCACATGGTCAAAGAAGAGGCATTCCTTAGAAGCAGGTCTACCTCCAGTCCCAGCAAACATCCCTGGAACCTCAGATACAAAATCGAGAAGCCTGGGCTGGCGGGGGCGGGGGGGCATGCATCACCCCTAGGGACATTATTATTTTGAAGGTCTGAAATACCAAGACAATCCAGAGAACCTCAGAGGAAGCAATACTGTCATGGCCAGTGGCAGGGAGAGTCGGAGTGAGGTCTGGAGCAGAGCATGGGGGTTAGGGCATGTCGCTGACACTTGTCTGATGCCTTGGGCTTAATTTCTGTGGTATCCTTTAGTTGTCATGACTACCCTGTGAAGTTGGGGCTATATTCTGGGAAAAGTATTCCCCTGACCCTTCAGGTCTTTCAGGGAGAAAGGTTCTCACTCAGAGGCTGAGCTGAGAGCCTGCTGCTGCCCTCCTGTGTACACCCAGCATATCCCTGATGTGTGGACTCCAAGCTCAAGTCTTCTCTTTTGCCTTCAGTACAGGAGACTGCAGGAGCCGATACTACAGAAGTGATGCCAATAATGGAACAAACACGATGCTGGTCTTAGAATGTGTCCGTCCAGAGAAGCTGAGGAATGGAACCCTAGCAGTGGCCTCCTCTGGATGTAAATCCCAAGCTCAAATGTGTTACTCTGTTACTGTGATTTCTGGTTGGATCACCAGGAATGTTGACAACAGACACAAAGTCTTTCCTGCTGTATTTCTTGCTTCCCTGGTGAAGTTGTGAATAAAAATGCTGCTCTTTACACAGAATGTCTGGACCTTTCCTTCCACCCACATCTGAGGAAAGAGGGAAGGGCTCTGGGGGTGGCACATTCAGAGAAATGGGTGGTCTTGGAAAAGCCCCATTACCCTTCACCATAGCACCAGCCAGACAATGAGTGGTTGCCAACTTTCAGCAATTAGGTATTGTGTTGGCTGCACTGACCCATCGCCAGTCGTGAGTTCTGCTACCTCAAGTTTCTTCGCCTGCAATGGGAGGCTGCCTACACTACGATACATTCACCCTGTCTTTGATTCCCATGGCAAACTTTAGTGCTGTACCTGGTGCATACGGGAGAGAACCACGCTGGAATCCAGCCTTGCTGTGCTCTTATTTTCTGGATGTAGGGTCCACCGTGTACACGTTGCCAAAGTTACCGAATAAAAATTAAATTGGAATGTCAGATACTTTATTGATAGTGTCTTGTGTATCGTAGACTGGCCTCGAACTCCCTATGTAATCAAGTGATGATCTGAAACTTCTGATTCTACCTCTACCCCCTGTGCCCTGAAATTATGCGCCACCCCGCCGGGGGGTTTTGTTTGTTGGTCAAACTAGTTCCGTGCATGCCAGGCAAGCACTCTAGCAGCCGAGCTACATCCCCAGCCCAACAAGATTCCTTTCATTAAAATAAAAAAAAAAATCCTAAAGTATCCGGCGGGGACATATTCACACAAACTTTTAAATAAACTGTTCACCTGAAGTTCCAATTAAGTCTGTATTGTACCTGGCTTTGGGACACTGACAGCTCTCTGGCTGCACATACTTGATCCTAAGTACACATGGGTATATTTGATGTCTCCGATCCTGCTTGTAGCTGACATCGATGAACCTTCTTTTTTGCGTCGCTTTCACCCGGATTCTGCACACAGAACCTAAGAAACAACAACGGGGCTTCGCGCAGCTCGGAGCGCTCACGACCCAGCCAGGCGGGAGACCACGCCCTCTCGCGAGAACGCGCGCCTGCCCAGGAAGTCGGGCTGGCGGAAGTGGAGCGACGGAAGCCACAGTTGCTATGGAGCTCGCAGAGGACTGGCTGGTGGAGTCTTTGCGCTTGTAAATCGGGCCGTGGGCGGGTCTGATGGGCAATGGGAGAGGGTGCGAGCCGTTGTGGGCTCGCGGGCAGTGCCCCGGCACAGACGGACGGAGGTTCTGGTCTCGGGCCTCTAGCTCTGGGACTCTCGGTCCCTTGTAAGCAAATAATGTAACCAGATCCGCGCTTGCGAGGACAGATACAGCACACATGACCGGTTACCTTGTGCCGGCCTTTAGGTTAACTTGAACACAGATTCTCCAACTGATTGGTCATCTCAACTTGGGGAAATCAATTTGGTAGGAGTTCCACAGGTGAGGAACCAAGGCTCGGTTCCTTATGGCCAGCCTGGTCCTATACACCAGGGAATAAAATGCAGAAAAAAAAGATTCAGCCCCATGTCTACCTAACTCCAGAGCCTGGTTCCACCTATCCTTCAGCGATCTCAGAGTTCTTGGTTAGCTGTGCATTTCGTGATTTTGTATCCCTATCCTGCAGGTACCAAGACTTCCATGCATTTGACCTCTCAGGAGCCACTCGAGTCCTTGAGTGGATTGGTGAAAAAGGTAATATACCTTGTCTGTCACTAAAAGGGATGGGTTTCTGCCTCTCAGGCTGAGTTTTAAGGTCTGAACCTTTAGAGAGACCCATTCAACTTCCATCCCCTAAAGCAAGGGTGCTCAGAGAATGGGGAAGGTGTTTATCCTTTGGGGAACTGTATAAATCTAGCCATGATCCACGATATTTCTAACACTTTGTCACTTTGTTTTGTTTAAGGAGTCTTTGTTGCTGGTTATGAAAGTTTGAAAAAAAATGAGATCCTTCATTTGATACTACCTCTCAGACTCTCTGTAAAGGAAAACCAGGTAAGGTAAGCAGAGAAGCTGAGTATGTGTGTCAGTTTATTATGCGTTTCTGGAGTGCCTGTTACACCCACAAGATACCATGCTTGACAAGTGTTGGGATCTGCCCTTACAAAGTCTACAGAAGGGGCCGCTCGGTGGTGCTGGGCGCCTTTAATCTCAGCACTTGGGAGGCAGAGGCAGGTGAATCTCTATGAGTTCCAGGCCATCCTGGTCTACAGAACAAGTTCCAGGACAGCCAAGGTTACACAGTCAAACCCTGTCTCAAAAAAGAAAAACAAAACCAAAGTCTAGTAGAAAGAGGCTCCTGTGCATAGGGGTGAACGCTGAGGAAAGTCAGGTGGTTGGCAAGAGAGCTGCAACAGGTAAAGGGCAGTCTTTATCAGACATAAAGGGCTGGAGAGATGGTTCGGGGGCTCAGAGGACCAGCTGCTCTTCCAGAGGACCTGTGTTTGATTCCTGGCACCCACGTTGCAGCTGCTGCAGTTGACAACTTTCTATAACTCCTGTCCAGGGCATCCAGCATCCTCTTCTGGCCTTCAAGAGCACCAACTGTGCATGTGGTATCTGGTCATGCATGCAGGCAAAACATCCATATACATACATTTAAGAAATAGATACAGAGCCTTGAGAAGTAGCCGGTGATGCAGTGCTCACAGATGGCTCAAGCCATCCCAGAGGCTAGAGTAGGGAGCCGTCAGCGTGGGGGTCGTAGTGGAAGCCGTGTGGATGAGTAAGGTCACCTGGGATGAAGGTGTAGGATCTGTGTTTGAAGTAGGGGGAGAATGTGTGAGTGGTGGCTGTGTAAGTGTTGCTAGTGGCTGCTCCTAGCCAGCCAGGGTTAGACAGTCAGAACTTGTCTCAAAGAAAGGGGAGGTGGGGGCTGGAGAAATGGCTCAGTGGTTAAGAGCATGGACTGCTCTTCCAGAGGTCCTGAGTTCAATTCCCAGCAACCACATGGTGGCTCACAACCATCTGTAATGAGATCTGATGCCCTCTTCTGGTGTGTCTGAAGACAGCAGCAGTGTACTCACACATGAAATAAATAAATAAGTCTTTAAAAAAAAAAAAGAAAGGGGGGGTGGGGGGAGGAAGAAAAACAGATGTGCCTAATAGAGTCAACACTTGTTGCGTGGTTGCTTTGTCTTTATTGCTAGAGGGACCCACCTTGCTTCTAGCGGGAGGATGACTGTTTAGTGATAGTAATCCTTGTTTTCTTGGGTGAGGGTATTTGTCTTCTGTGACTTCTCTAGGAAGGTGTAAACTGTTTTGCCCCATAATCCAGGGTCCTGGACAGGCTAGAAGGAGGCTCAGAGACAGGCAGGAAGGAAAGAAGCTGAACATGTAGATATTTACACATGCAGATGGACCCTGCTGAGGTCCAGCTGAGTGACTTCGATGGCCTCCCCTAGAGCTCATCTGAAAAGCAGGTGCTGAGCAGGTGTGCTGTTACACACCTTTAATCCCAGCACTCTTGAGTTCCAGGCCAGCCTGGTCTACAGAGTGAGTTCCAGGACAGCCAGGGCTACACAGAGACCCTGCCTAGAGAAGCCAGAAAGGAAAAGGAAAGCTGGTGCTGTCTGATTGCCCCGCCCCTTTGATTTTAGGGCTTATACCCAGAGAGGGACTTCAAAGTGCGCCACGGAGGATTTTCAGACACATCTGTCTTTGACCTAAAGCACGTGCCAGATACCAGGTATGGCCAGTCCGTGTCCCAGACTTTCCATTCTTTGGGGATGACAGGAAATGTTCTGCAGTGTCTATCTTTTTATCAGCATGCCCACTTCTCAGGGTACAGACATAGGTGAGTGTACATGAGGCGGTGCAACACACAGACTTAGCATCTAAAGAAATCGTTAGCTTAGCAGACATTTTGATTAATAGAGCCTACAAGTCTATGGAGTTACTCCAGGGACCACATACACTAAAGCGTGTCTGAGGGCTGACAGACCCCTCTAGAAGGTCAGGTCTCAGGGTTCTGTGTTCAGGCTTCCTACTTGTGTCCTTTCTAGGTGACCGTCATGACCTGTGGCAGCCTGGGCTCAGCCTGTGGTTTTCTCTGAGTTGTGATCCTGTCCCTAAAGCAGGGTGAGCCTGCTCATCTGTTGAGTGATGGCAGCTGGTCTCAGGGTTCCTGAGTGGGCTGGAGAGGAAAGGCTGCTGGGGTGAGGGCAAGCTCCCCTGTCTGGACTTAAGATTTCGGTCTCTCTGGAACAGGTTGCTGGTGACCAGTGGGCTTCCAGGGTGTTACATACAAGTGTGGCAAGTTAGAGAGGACAACGGTAAGTGACGTTCACGTGGTGGAAGGTGAGGCTTCAGTAAAGTGACTCACACACTCCTGTCTCTCAGCCAGTGAAAAAAGCACTTAAGGGAGGGGACAGCACAGTCTCTGTCTTCTTTGCGGAACAAAGATGAGTTAGCATCCACAGTCTAGCAGACAGGCCTAATAGGCCTCTTTGAACTTCCTCCAGGAGTCGAGTTTACCAACCCAGCTGCTGGCAGGGCACCTAGAGAGGCAGGACCTCTCTGCTGGACAAGGACAGAGGAAGGGCTGAGCTAGAGCCACTTGGGAGCACTCAGTTCTTGGAGGAGGTGGCCTGGAGGTGGTCCCTCCTTTTACAGTGTGCTAGTTGTGGGGAAAGCAAGTCGCAAATGAGCAGGACGCTCACTGGCCAGTTTCTTACCCAGTGATCACACTGCTTCCAAGGGGCACAGAGGAGGAGCAGGAAGTGTCTCTTGTCAGAGTGTTAGGGAGTCCCCTTGTGGGGACTGGCAATGGGACTGCAGGTCCTTGTCAGGCAGACACCAGAGCATGTATCCCTCTAGCCTGCTGCAGCCATTCATCCGTCCCTGTCCCTCCCCCAGGGAGCAGCATCTCACAGCAGGAAGTCCGTTGCACACTGCCTCCACAGAGCTTGCCACCACAGCACAGTGGCTGTTACGTCTGCCAGCTTCAGTGCTGCACACACGTGCTCTGCACTCATCCCTGGCCTCGTGCTCTCCACACTTGTCTGTGTGGTTGTTCTCAGTTCCCTGTGTTGCCTACCTGTACTGGGAGGTTTTTGTTGTTGCTCCTGGGGTGTTTTGTTGTTGATGCCGTTTTTGATGTTTTGAGGCAGGGTTTCTCTGTTAGCCCTGGGTGTCCTGGAACTTCCTCATGTAAACCAGGCTGGCCTCAGAGATCTGCCTGCCTCTGCCTCCCTATTAAAGGCTAGGATTAAAAGTATTCACCACCTCCACCGGGCTTATTGCTGCTGTTTTAATGGAGTATGCTTTACCTACCAGATGATTCACCTGTTTTGAGTGTACATGTCATTGATTTTTAAAGATAATTTGCCAAGTTTTGCAGTCATCAGTATAAATCAGTTTTAGAACATTTTTAATTATTTCCATAAAGATCTGTCAGACCATTTACTATTAACCTCACACCTACACTTGCCCCACACATTGTTAATATATCCTCTCTGTCGTAGACTTGCCTGTTCTGAAAAGCATCTTCCCAGTGAACCCTCTCATGCGTTCTCTTGTATCTGGCCTCTGGCCCTTAGCAGATGCTTTTTAAGACTGTCTGTGTTACAGCGTGCATCAGTGATTTGTCCCCTTTTATTGCTGACACTCTGCCCTTGTATGGGTATGGCACATTTTTTTCTGTCTCTTCCAGCCCTAATGTACAAATCTTGATATGGACATATATTGCTGAATTATGTGGTAAATTTATGGGTGGTTTTTTTTGTTGTTGTTGTTGTTTCTAAATAATTAAAAGTTGAGGCTGGAGAGATGGCTTGGTGGTTAAGAGCTCTTCCTGCCGTTGCAGAGGACCTGGGTTTGGTTCCCAGTGCATTTGCTTGTCAGGTAGCTCACAGTCCTGTGTTACGTCTGCTCATGGGCTGACCGCCTCAGAACTCGGTAGGATGTGCACAAACTCATGCAGGTACGCGCATGCGCACGCGCACACACACACACACACACACACACACATACACGCACACACACATACACAGTTTTACAGAATAGTTCCATTTCTGTCCCACGAGCAGTGTGCAGAAATTACCATTTTTCCATGTGCTCAGCAACATTTGTCGCTGTCTCTGAGTGCCTGGGAATGAAACCTTATGCCTGCTGGACAAGCACTTGTCCCGAACCCTGGCTATTTTGTTAAAGCCATTCTAGCGGGTGTGGTGTTGTTTATCACTGTAGCTTTTGTTTGCATTTTTCCACTGAACATCTTTCATGTGATTGTGAAGCCACTCACTTATTTGAGTTATAAAAGTCCTTTGTATGTGCTGGATATAAGTTCTTTAGTAGATATGTTTGCTGAAAATGTATCCCAGTTTGGTGGTTTTCTTCTCATTGGTGTATGGTGGTAATGTCTTGCTTTTTTTGTTTTATTTTTTGAGACAGGGCCTCACTATATAATCGGGGCCGTCCTGGAAGTTATTCATGTAGACCAAGCTGGTCTCTCTCCCAAGTGTGTACCATGCCTCCCGGCTCTTTGAGCATCTTCACGTGCTACTTTGATATATTAGGTGGGGATTTCCTAGAGGATATACTTTCGTACTGACTGGAGAGAGAGGCTGGACTTGTTTTATGTGTGTGTGCAATTATTATGGTACTGGATGGAGAGGCCATTGCTCCAACAGTGAACTGTAATTCCAGTCCTGCTAATGCTAAATCTTTGAAATAGGTTTCCTCCCTTCCAGCAGCTGAAAAGCCTCTTCCAGCTCAGAGCAGTAGGTCCTGGGAGCTTTAGGCTCCTTGGGATCAGTGTAAGGGAGTCAGGGAAGCATGGCCCAGGAGAGCAGCCTTTCCATGCACCCTAGAGACCAGCTAATAGCCCCAGGCTCAGCTGTTGTGTCTGCTGCAAGCACTTCTCAGCTGTGTTGAGAAGTGTGGATGCAATGCCCCGGGAGCCCTGGGAGCCCAGCCGTCCCTGCTCCCAGTGCAGAAGTGTCTGGAGGGAGCGCTCACTCCTGTTGCCTTGTGGTATCTCTCACTGTCTACCCACTGTTCTCCCCGAGGCCCGACCTTTAGAACTGAAAAGCACACAGAGCTTTGTCTCCACGCGTGTGGACATGGACTAGTGGGTTCTGGTTTTGGAGAAAGAAAATACAAAGCAGAAAACGAGATTTCTCTTTTCAGTAGTTTGTGCAGCAAATACTTGTTCCAAACTATTACAGTGACATCGAGGAAAATATCAAATGAATCAACACTCAGGAGACAGAGGCAGATGAACCTCTGTGAGTTTGAGGCCAGCCTGGTCTATATAGTGAGAACTATCCAAAAACTAAAAAAAAAAAAAGAAAGAAAGAAAGAAAGAAAGAAAGAAAGAAAGAAAGAGAGAAAGAGAGAAAGAGAAAAAGAAAATCAAATGATAGAGAACACAGAGATTAGAAACAGTTAGCTAACCAAGCAACCTGAGGTGGAGACACTTAGTGAACCACAGAAATGAGAACCAAACAAAAACTAAAATGCGCCGGGTGGTGGTGGTACATGCCTTTAATCCCAGCACTTGGGAGGCAGAGGCAGGCGGATTTCTGAGTTCAAGGCCAGCCTGGTCTACAGAGTGAGTTCCAGGACAGCCAGAGCTACACAGAGAAACCCTGTCTCAAAAAAACAAAAAAACAACAAAAAAAAAAAAACTAAAATGTATTTCATTCCAGCACTAGGAGACAGAGACAGAAGGAGTTTGAGGCCAGTCTGGGCCACGTAGCAGGACTTCCTTGTCTCAAAACCAAAAAGAAAAAAAAAAAAAGAAAGAAAAAAAGAAAAAGAAAAGAAAAAAAAAGAGAAGGTCCAGCAGTGTGGCTCAGCAGGCAAAGGCGCTTGCTGCCAAGCCTGACCATCTGGCAATCTAAACTCAATCCCAGAACCCACACAGTGGACAGAAAAAAACTAACTTCCTGCAAGTTGTTCTCTGACCTTCACACAGGCACCAGGGTACACACACACGCACGCACACACACACACACACAAGCGAAGTAAGTGATATTTAAAGATGAAAACTAAACTAAAATTTTACTCTAGTTGAAAATGCATCTCTGTTGCATTTTGTTTGAGAGGTGGCCCTTCCTGGTTTCCCCGTTTCATCTGTGACATCTGCAGCGCAGCTGGGAGCTGCCAGGTCTGGCAGGCCTCGAGGTCACAGAGCATGTTTTGGAAGAGGCAGGACTGTTTGATGAATCTGGTGCTTGTCACATTTCACTGTAGATGTGACTGACATCAGCAGCGCGTCCTTTCCTTTCCTTTCCTTTCCCTCTCTCCTCCATCAGACATGTCAGGACCGTGTGATTTCAAGATGGCTGCAGTGACTCACTGTCTGCCGTTTGCAAAAACAGCTCCTAAGATAATTTATGAGGACACGAAAGAGATTCTGGCAGCTTGAGATATGTGAACAAACCCAGAGTGCCTTTGTCTCAGCACTGGCTCGAAGCCCTTAGCTCCCTCTCCCTGACCTTCTAAATGTCAGGGAAGGTTTCTGACCAGCCGCCCTCACTGACACGCCGCACTTTGGCCTCTTTCCCTTTGCTTCAGATGTCATTGAAGCTGTCAGTACCATTGATGTGCAGGACAAAGAGGAGAGTCTCTGGCCTCGGGTGTCTGTCTTCTGCTCTATGGCACCTGGAATCCTCCACGGGGCTCGGCTCAGCAGCCTGAGGACTGTGGACATAGAATCCCAGAAGGTCACCTACAGCTCAGGTACTAACACTGCTGCGGTACAGAAAGGATCTCTGACCATCCAGCCATCTCTGTCCCTCAGCCGGGCTCAGCCACTGGAAGACACCTCTCAAGATTTCTGTGCCAGATGCTGGGTAAACCTGGAGCATGCATTGCCAACCCTGGCCTCCAGGGCCCAGCAGCCTCCAGCAGAGCAGACTGGCAAGATGAGGGAAGGGTGTGAACAGGGGCCTTGGCACGGCCCTCCAGCCCTGCCACCCACCAGACCCACCTGACTCCAGCACATTTTCTTCTTTGCCCTCTGTCTTGTAGGTACAACTGACAGTGAGTCCTTGAGCAGCCTTCAGGTCCTAGACGCAGACAGCTTTGCTTTCTGTGGTACCTCAGGTCGGCTGGGACTTGTGGACACCCGCCAGAAGTGGGCACCATTGGAGACTGGCAGCCCCAGCTCTGGCTCTGGGGGAGAGAGATGGTGTGCAGAAGTTAGGAACAAGGGCCAAGGCCCTGGGCCCTGCATTGCCAGCCTTGGCTCAGATGGGCAGCTCTGTCTCCTTGACCCCCGGAATCTCTGTCATCCTGTGAGCTCAGCCCAGTGCCCAGTGTTCAAACCCAGCCCTGACCCAGAGCTGCTGCGGGTGACCTGGGCTCCAGGCCTGGACAACTGCTTGGCTATTTCAGGTACTGTTGAGAAACTCTTACTCCACTGCTCTCTTCCGGGGATGGTAGGTGCCGGGAAGGAGCCTGTAGCCCCACAGTTAACCTGGCTGCAGGAGTTTAGGTTCCTATCAGAATGCTAACTGTGGTCTTCGGATTCCTCAAGGCAGACCCCACCCATCCTGACCACTGAACTTGCAGCAACTGCCAGTGGCTCTTACAAGCCTCGAAGAGGTTCAGGTGTGTCTAGCGACTTGTAGACAGTAAGGTCTGGAACAGCCAGAGGCTGCACCAGACAGCATCTCAGTGAGCTGCTTGTTGCTTGTATTTTTAGCTATAGCCACAACAGCAGGCTCCTGAAGCCTGGGGATTCTCGTTGTGAGGGTCTGTTCAGTGGGGGTATCCAGGAGCCAGTGAGAAAGGTCTGGGGCAAACACAAAAAGGAAAGTTCCAGGATCCAGAAAGAAGAGAAAAAGCATTGTACCAGGGAGAGGAAGAGGACAGCAGGGTGGGACGGGGCAGATGGACAAGAGGACAACACTGAAGAGAGACGAGGCTTCCTCTGAGGGACAGGGGTGGAGGAGGAATTGGGATCTGGAGCAACCTGAAAGTTTCTGCTGCTTCCTTTCCTGTGGAGATGCTGTTATGAGGATAAAGATGTCACAGGCATCTGTGAAGTTGAGGGCATAGCTCAGTGAAGCTTGCCATGCAAGCGAGGACCTAAGTTTGATCCCCAAAACCTGTGTAAAAAGCTGGATGTCCTACACAGAGAAACCCTGTCTTGAAAACCTACATATATGTAGTGTATATATGGGGTGGGTGTGGGGGAAGCTGGCTGCGGTGGCATGTGCTTACAATTCCAGCACCAGGAAGACAGACAGGCAGATCCCTAGGGCTCATTGGCTGGCCAGCCTAGCCAATGAAAAGACTCTGTGACAAAAGACAAGGTACACTGTTCCTTGGTTTACCTAAGGTTTACCTCACTGACCTCCACACAGTGCACACAACCACCTCAGGCCTGGGGATGTGATACATACTATCACATATATGTGGACATGTGATGGCTGTCCACAGCTGCTCATGGAGACATCCCCACACTGGTGCAGGTGCAGCTTTCTCTGTGGGTGGCCTCTGGGTAGCCTCCGAGAAAGAGTAGGGTCACATCTCTCTTTCCGCGTTCTTCTCCAGGATTTGATGGGACAGTACAAATCTATGACGTCACTTCATGGGATGGAAAGAAAACCCAAGTGGAGCCTCTTTTCACTCATAAAGGCCACATCTTCCTGGATGGAAATGAGGTTGACTCTGCTCCTCTGGTCACCACCCACACCTGGCACCCTCGCAAACCCAGGACTTTGTTATCTGCAGCGAGTGATGGCTCTCTGCATGTGTGGGACTGGGTGGACCTCCAGGCCTCCTAATGACAGCAGCAGCTTACCCCACGGGCCTCTGAAGAGGAGGTGTTTGAGAGGCTGACACGGAGTGACCACAGGCTACCACAGCTGCTGGCTTCAGGCAAGTTAGCCTGCCCTTCTCGTCCCTTTTTCCTATCTGTAAAATGAAGGTGTAGTAACCACCACCTACCTAGTGCTGTGGGGAGCGTCACAGATGGTAGGCCACATGGCATAACATGGCTGGAAGTGACCATTGTCTCTAGGAGCCCTGCCTCTCCAAGTATGTTGCAGCAGGCTGTGTTCCTGTCTTCACAGCATCATGGTGAGAGAATCAGGAGAGAATCAGGAGAGCCGGAGTGTGAATGTGGGCGTGAACTTTTGCACAGGAGGAATCATTGTCTCGGGTCAATAAACATTGAAAAGAATACCAGTAAGAAGCAGTTAAGAATTTACTTACTTATTTTTTGTACATGGGATTGAACCCAGGACCTACTGTATTGAGTTATGTACCAACTGCTTTCTTTTAGCTTTTTCCTGGTGTGTGTGTGTGTACATGCTTGGGTGCGCACACACATGAGTATAGGCATCAAGAAGTGCTGGGAAGGTGGATTCATTCTGAGGCCTCTTTGCTTGGCTAAAGGATGCCCCTTGCTTTCTTCGTGCACACATGACCTCTCTGCGCATGCTGACTGGAGTAAGCTCTGTCTTCCTCGATGTTGGATAAGAGTCCCATCCTTCTGACCTTATTTAACCGTAGTTCCTGGACCCCAGCTCCAAACTTATTCTCTCTAGGGGTTGGGACGTCAGTGTATGAATTTGCAAGGGTACACTCTTCCTTCCACAGCACTTAAAAATACTTGGGCTAAGAAAAGCCCAGCAATTTTTTAAAGTAACATTTACTTTTTTATATATTATTTTTGAAATACAGACTCATTGTGTAAGGAAGGAATCAGGTTGACCTTCAACTTGCAAGCCTCCTTCCTCAGCCTCCTGAGGCCATCCCCAGTAGATGTAGACACAGATGTAGATTCTCTTCCCTCTAATTCCAGGCTGAGAGCTCAGACACTCTGCCCCTCCTCCCTGAGCTTCCCGAGTCGGATCCCAGCCTGTGACACTGAGAGCAGCAGGGGAAGGAATTAGTTGTTTATGTAGCAGTGAAGTTGATGCAGGTTTTGGAGAGCTGTGAGAATCGCAGCCTCACGACAGGATTGCGCTCAGAGTTTGGGAAGCAGTCTCCGTCATCCCCGCCCACTCCTAAAGCTCATACCATGCCTCCCCCTGCCCCTCTGTGCTCAGCAGTGACACGCTGATAGCATGAAATTGGCCATTGTGGGAGTATTTACATCTCAGAAACTGGCACATGTTACAAAGCAGAGCTCATGTTTCCCCCTGAGGTCCGGGTTACCAGCAGCCGCCAGCTGAACTCTAGTATTTCACTCTGGGAAAGCTTAGTGAGTGATTCAGATGTTGGTTGTGAATGGAGAAGGTGCTTTGCTGAACTGTATCTGCCAGGGTCTGACCAGGAAGAGCAAACCCACACCCACGGGGTGATGAAGCTGCAGTTTGGTGCTGCAGAGGAAGTGAAGGAGGGTGAAGCTTGCACAGCTAGGTACACGGCTGCAGGAAGTCTCGAGGCCAGAGGCCTCCAGGTAAGAACTGCAGGTTTCTTGTCTGGCCAGAGCCAGGTTCCTCGGTCCACAGAGAAGAGGGCCAACTGCTACAGAAAGTACAGGGACAGGAGGACAGGAGATCAGGACAGGTTCCAAGGTTCATGCAGAGGTTGCGTTCACAGGGGTTCACAGAAGCAATGCAAACTTCCCTTCAGACGAGCTATGTGAGGAGAGGCAACCTCAGGCCACAGGCAGCAGTGGTGGACCCTTGAAGGGGGAAAGCATTAGCTGAAAGAGAACACTAGGACTGTGAGGGGCCTTAAAGAGAGTGAGAGCCTTCCCTTCAAGTCCCAGGACAGTAGACTGTACAGCTAGCTCAGTGGGAGCCAGCGACTAAAGGGAGTTTCTGACTCTCAGAGGTGTGTCTGTCTGTGTTCCTCCCCACCTCCCGCCCTCCTTTTTTTTTTAGTGTTAGTTCCACATCTTGTGACCTAGTCTAGCCTGGTCTATGTGCCGGGAGTCAGGAGAGCACTGACAGAAGCTAGCTAGAGAAATGTCTTCTTCCCTCTGGCGAAAGGGGACAAGGCTAGACATGCTCACAGCTGCTGGTGGGAGGGAGACTGTCAGGCCACATGCTTTCTGGTCAGCTCTGTCCTGGAAAGGGGGGCTGGATCTGGAGGAATGAGGAGGCAGCTGTGGAAACAGGGATGCTGCAGCGCCCATCTGTCTCACTTCGACATGTCCAGACATTCCTGAATGCCTCACACACCGGCTTAGGTACTAGGATGAGACACTGAGCTGTACACACAGGGCCTCGCTTAGAGAAGGGGTGCATGTCCTGACAGCAAGGGCTCAGTTACACACGTGTGCTTGCTGAGAGAGCAGGTTCGCATGGGGAAGGTGACAGTTGAGTTGTATCCTGTGTTCAGGCAGAGGGGACATCATTGGTAAAGACACAGCCCCAACCCTAGGAGTAAATGGGAATACAACTGAGAAAACAGGCTTGAGGCCCGTCAGTGACACGCACAGGGCATTGAAGGTGGTTCTGGATTGCACTTGGCAGCAGGAAGAGCGAGGATGCAGACACACGGCCGCACTTAACACATGGTGCAGAACACAGCTGGTGTAGGACATGGCTCGCTCGCTCTGCCCAGGGCCAGCCTTAGACCTGGGCAAAATGGATCCTAGGAAATGAACCAACCCAGAGGACAAATGTTATAGGTGCCCACTCAGAGGGTGCCTACAGCAGGCAAAGTCACCGGGACTCAGCAAGGACACTGAGGTCAGGATTAGAGAGAGAGAGAGAGAGAGAGAGAGAGAGAGAGAGAGAGAGAGAGA